CCCATGGCACGGGTGCCAGAGGCGGCACTCGGAGCCCTCTCAGTGGGCACGCGGGCCGTCGCCCCAGTCCTAGGCCTTCAGCTGGGTTTTATAAAACCTTTTCGCTTTAGGCCTCCGCCACCGTGTGCAAAAAAAAAAAAAAAAAGAAAAAAGGATCAATCATTCAGTCAATTTCAACTTCTCGCGGGGGGAAAAAAGGATCTTGCAAAGTTGGAATTGATGGATTGAACTTTTTAGTCCCACCCAGTCTCCCGTTACCACCGCAGCCACGCCCACCCAATGGGCCACACCCACCCGGCACTCGATGATGCATAAGTGGGTTTTGGGTTGCAGTTTGGGCACTCGGTCTCTAAAAGGTTCGCCATCACTGGCCTAAGTAAAGGACTACTTGTATGAAACACGTCTGCTTAAACAAACGTGTCACCCACAACTTCCAAGGTTTCACAAAAGTACCCCTGCAGGCTGTGTTTTTTAGCCTCTTTCCGAACCGATTCAAGTTCCAATCCCAATAATTTCAAACCCCTTTTAACTAACTTTGAAACGTTGCTTTTCCCGCAATATCTTTCCTATTTTTAAAACCTTCTTTATGACTTATAGTAGCAACGACGATGCCTGGAGATTCTCACTTTACTCTAGATCAGTGGTTCTCAACCTTTTTAATGCCGCGACTCTCAACCGGTCGTAAGTCGAGGACTACTCAACTGGTGCAGTACCGTTTGCAGAATGGGACTTTTGGCGGGCTCAGCAGGGCAGAGACAGCCTGGACAATTCCTATTGGCTTTTGAAAGCCAATAGAATGAGACTTTATTCAAGAGAGTCTATTCTATTGGCTTTCAAAAGCCAATAGAATAAAAGGGAGTTGCACAGCTAAGGAAAAGGGGAAAAAAATGGCAGACTGCGTTGTTTGGCGACCCCCGTGAAATGGTCGTTCGACCCCAAATGGGGTCCCAACCCACAGGTTGAGAACCACTGCTCTAGATCCAGTTAAGCCTCCATCTAGATGGGAAGGGGGAGAAGACACACAGGCACACACACCCACAACCCAAACTAGTGTGTGACTGATAACACTTTTTCACTCTGAGCCGCTTTGAGTAGCTTTTCCTTTTCGAGTCAGCTCCAGAAGACCAGGAACACACTGTAAAGTCTTGAGATCACTCGTATATTTTATTATAACTTAAGTCTGCCTCAATTAGGAGCAACCAATTGCACGGAAATAAATACCAAACAGAAGAAATAAAGCCGATTAATCAAAATAGGCATTTAAAAAAAAAAATCAACCCCGCTCTGAAGCAGTGTGAATAATGAAGCATTTGTTCTCACCTCCAGTCCTCCTGAGCAGATTTAGTCCTAACTCATATGGATAGGCAGGGGAGCCTCTATATTTTACTTTATGCATTACAGACACACAAATTATTCTAACCAGATATAGTTTGATGACAGAATAAATTTGATATTGGCAACGAGCTAAAGAAGACGGACGCTAAAGTTTTTCGGTTAATATAGGTAATTCTCAACAACTGTTCATTTAGAGACGGTTCAAAGTTACAACGGCACTGGAAAAAAGTGACTTTGTTCCCGCATCCCTGTGGTCATGTGATCAAAATTTGGACAGCTGGCAACTGGCATGTATTTTTGACGGTTGCAGTGTCCCACGATCACGTGATCCCCTTTTGCAATCTTCCGGCAAGCAAAGTCAATGGAGGAAGTAGATTCACTTAAACAAGCGTGTTTGTTAACTGAGCAACTGCAGCGATTGCCTTAACGACTGTCAATCGACTGTCGCAAGAAAGGTCGTAAAATAGGACAATTAACAACTGTCTTGCTTAGCAATGGAAATTTTGGGCAGAGTTGTGCTCATGAGGACTAGCTGTGAGGGCAAAGGTATCTTTACCACTCACTTTTCATAGGGACTCCCTCGAAACATTTAATACAGTAGTTCTCAACCTTTTTAATGCCGCGGCCCCCAACCGGTTGTTAAGTCGAGGACTACTCAACCGGTCGTAAGTCGAGGACTACTCAACTGGTGCAGCACCGTTTGCAGAATGGGACTTTTGGCGGGCTCAGCAGGGCAGAGACAGCCTGGACAATTCCTATTGGCTTTGAAAGCCAATAGAATTAGACTCTATTCAAGAGAGTCTATTCTATTGGCTTTCAAAAGCCAATAGAATGAAAGGGAGTAGCACAGCTAAGGAAAAGGGGGGGAAAAATGGCGGACTGCGTTGTTTGGTGACCCCCGTGAAATGGTCGTTCGACCCCAAATGGGGTCCCGACCCACAGGTTGAGAACCACTGGTTTAATATTTGCCTTGGGGCACACCTAGGAAAAAACAGTGCACAACATTTGCTTTCAGGAGACACCACAAAGCCATTCCAGTAGCTTTTGTCACTGTTAAATTATGGGTAAAGCAGCAATCAAAAAGCGGCCTATAAATATAAGGTCCCAAAGATGCATTTTTTTTCCCAAAATGGCAACTGGACTTTTTGGTCCCCCCCCCCACTTTGGAAACATTTTGCTTCTCATCCCAAAAGCTTGAGCAGGGGGTTGAACTAGAACAGGCCTTTTCAACCAGTGGTACAGGTACCACCTGTGGTCCACTGGCACCTGGCAGGTGGTACGCGACCATCCTAGAAAAGTGGTAGTAGGGGAGGGGAATGAGCTGAACCGGTGGCAGCACCGCACAAGCCTGAGCGAGAGACGGCTGGAGCTGCAGGGCTGTCAGGGCTGCATTAGAAAAACAAGGGACTGAACTTGGCAGGTGCTTTCAGCTCCAGATAATTTACTTTTTTTGATATTAAAGCTGTCCATTTGTCATCCTCCTCTCAAACATATGGGTAAATTAGTTTCTTCTGCCTTCACGAGGAACACAGATGGGATGCCACAGGAGCATGTAAGCACACACACACACACACATATACATGTACACAGGTAGTCCTCAACTTACGACAATCGAGCCCAAAATTGCTGCTGCTGCTAAGTGAGACATCTGTGAGTTTTGCCCCATTTCAAAACCTTTCTTGCCACAGTTGTTAAGGGAATCACTGCAGCTATTAAGTTAGTAACATGGGTGTTAAGTGAATCGGTTTTCCCCACTGACTTTGCTGATGAGAAGCTCACAAAAAATGACCCCATGATTCCCCCGGGACATTGCAACCGTGATATACACCAGTCAATTGCCAAGCGTCTGAATTTTGATCACGTAACATGGGGATGCTGCCACGGTTGCAAGTGTGAAAAACGGTCCTAAGTCACTTTGTTCAGAGCCATTGTAACTTCAAATGGTCACTAAGCAAATGGTTGTAAGTCGAGGTCTGCCTGTATTTACATTTCATTTCTAATTTCCAACTGACCTCCCACAAGCCGGATGGGGAAATTTGGTCACATGCCCACATGGGGATGCTGCAACAGTTGTAAGGGCGAAAAACAGTCCTAAGTCACTTTGCTCGGTGCTATTGTGACTTTGAACAGTCACTAGTTGTAAGTCGAGGAGTGTCTCTCTCTCTCTCTCTCTGTATATGTATATATATATATATATGTATGTATATGTATGTATGTTAACAAATAAAAGAAAAAATGAACACCAGGATATAATAAACCAGCCTGTTTAATATAAACAAGCCTGTGGTTAAGAAGAGTCACTAAGCTTTCGTCCGGTCAAAAAACTGCCGGCGTCATCAGAGTTAGAATAGCAGGAGATTGGGAAGGCAGCTCATATAGCCTATGTATGTATATATATCTATGTATATGTATGTATATGCACGTATGTATATAAGATAATCTTTGTCATTTTCTTACTGTGGGCACAGTGGCACACATTAAAAATGAAATTCTGTTGCCTGCTCTCAAAAGTGTACACATACATAACACACATAATAGACCTGCTATCTACATACATATCTATGTAGGTCTTTGGTTATTCGGGTTTTCTCCCGCGTAAAATTGGAAGTGTCTTGGCAACGTTTCGACAAAGTCCCATTCGTCATCTTCAGGCTGCTGTTTTCAGCTTCGTGCTTCCTCGAAGAACGAAGCTGAAAACACCAGCCTGAAGATGACGAATGGGACTTTGTCGAAACGTTGCCAAGACACTTCCAATTTTACGCGGGAGAAAACCCGAATAACCAAAGACCTACATACAAACACCCGCGAAAACCTCAGAAAACAAATACATATCTATATACCTACACCCTTACATATAAATACAAATATTGCTGTCTATATATGTACACAGAGACATGTACACAGACATACATATACATACTGTCCATATGCATACGTGTGTACCTATATGTGCATATATATATATATATGAATTTGTAAGTGTATATATGTACTGGTATGTATATGTGTGTGTATATATCAATATCTATACATACATACACACACACATATATGTATACATGCAAACACACACACACACACACACACACACACACACAGATACCTATTGGAGGCCCTTGACACTGTCACCTCCAGGCTGGGACCCCTGCTTCTTCCTTTAGAGGGCCGGGCATCCCTCTCCCTCCCAGGCTGGCATCTCAGCCTGTGCCCCACGAGGGGCCAGGACCCCCCACTCTGGCCCTGCCTGCCCTCGGGGGGCCCAAAGGGACCCCTCCCCACCGGACTCTCAAGTTTCCTGGGAGCCCTGGACGCCCTCGGAGGGGAGGGGAGGCGAGGGGGCGGCGTTGGCCCAAGCTCCCCCCCCCGAAAAGTGGGAAGGGTCCGTGCCCGGGAAGGAGGGGGAGTCTGAGGAAAGGGAGGGTCCGGCTGCTCCGGGGGGGGGCTGACCTCCCTCGGGGTCAGGGGGCGGGGCCTCCCGCGCCCGGGAGGAAGGCCCTCCCCTTTGGCCCCGCCCCCTCCCCTCCCCTGAGGGGGGGGGCTCTGACAGAAAAACGCAGCGCGGCTCCCCCAACTCCCGTCGCCGGGGGGGTCGAAGGAAGGGCGCCCTTTTTCGGCCCGCTCCCCGCCTCCTTCCCGGTCCCTTCCGTCTCTTTTCACTCACTCACTTTCGCCTCCACCAGCTCCGCCGCCATCTTGGCTTCCAGCGTCCAACGCGCCGGGGACAGGTGGAGGGAGGGGGGCAAAGGAAAGAGAAGAGCCGCCGCGGTCACGTGACAACGGGGGAGGAGGAGGGGGAGGAGGAGGGCGCAGCCGGCCCCGGCCGCCAGCCAATCCCGGCGAGCGCCGGCCCTCGGCGCCGGCGCAAAGCGAAGGCGGCGCGGCCGGCGCTTAGCACCGCTCGCAAACGCTCGGAGGCGCATGCGCATGGCCGCCGCGGCGCTTTTACCCGTCCGGACTTTGCCCGCTTCCCTCCCTCGCCCGAGCTGGGGAAAAATGCGCATGCGCCTATAGAAAGCGGGCGGGGGGGGGCAGTCCCAGCTGGCCGCTTCCGGGGAAAAAAAAACGCATGTGCAAGGAAACGTTGAGCAGGAAACGCGGCGCATGCGCGGAGAGGCTGTCATTAACCCACCAGGGTCCAGCTCTTTGCCCCTCTACGGATTCGTTGGATCCCGTGGCCACGCCCCTCCCTTTGAGCTCTTAAAGGGCCATGCATCCTTAATCTGGAAAAGGGGAATAGGAGGAGTGGGAGTTTATTTATATAACGCTTTTATATCATCTGCGTTTGCTTCAGCTTGGCAGGGAACTATGGAAAGACCTCGATGCAGGGAAACACCCCCCCCCATTCCTTGGTGCAGCAGACCTACCCAGCTTGGGTGCAAAACTATGGAGGATCAATAGGGGTCGACAAAAGATAGACATAGGAAAAAGAACTCTGCTGCCATCTAGCGGCAATTCTGGGGTTTGCAGCCTAGCACTGACAGCCACAGCTAACAGCTTTCCAGCCTCTGCTAGAGCCATAAAGTTGGAAGGTGGTCTCTGAGGTCATCTAGTCAAGCTCTCTGCACAGGGCAAGACCTGGAAAGCATCCAGCCACCTCTTATTTGGAGACCTAAAGGGAATCCTGGCTGGGGAATTCTGGGAGTTGAAGTCCGCAAGTCTTAAAGTTGCCAAGTTGGGAGACACCTGTTTTAACCCATTGCTTCTGTTTAAATATTCTTCATTAAAGAGCAGCAGAGATGATTAGGGGACTGGAGGCTAAAACACATGAGGAACGGTTGCTGGAATTAGGTATGTCTAGTTTAATGAAGAGAAGGACGAGGGGGGACATGATAGCAGTCTTCCAATATCTCAGGGGTTGCCACAAAGAAGAGGGAGTCAAGCTATTCTCCAAAGCGCCTGAAGATAGGACAAGAAGCAATGGATGGAAACTAATCAAGGAGAGAAACAACCTAGAACTAAGGAGAAACTTTCTGAGAGTGAGAACAATTAACCAGTGGAACAACCTGCCTCCAGAAGCTGTCAATGCTCCAACACTGGAAGTTTTTAAGAAGAGACTGGACAGCCATCTGTCTGAAATGGTATAGGGTTTCCTGCCTGAGCAGGGGGTTGGACTAGATGATCTCCAAGGTCCCTTCCAACTTTATTATTATTATTATTATTATTATGGATCATCGCACAGTCAGCCAGAATAGAATAGAATTACGGAATAAAATAGAACAGAATTACAGAACAGAATACAATAGGATAGGTTAGGTTAGAATAGAAATGGGAATATAGAATAGAAATTGGAACATAGAATAGGATAGGATAGGATAGATATTGGAGAATAGAATAGAATAGAATAGAACAGAATTAAAGAATAGAATAGAATTACAGAATAAAATAGAATAGAATTACAGAATAAAATAGAATAGAATAGAATTACAGAACAGGATAGGATAGGGTAGGGTAGGATAGAAATTGGAATATAGAATAGAAATTGGAACATAGAATAGGATAGGATAGGATAAATATTGGAGAATAGAATAGAATAGAATAGAATTAAAGAATAGAATAGAATAAAATAGGATAGGATAGAAATTGGAACATAGAATAGGATAGGACAGATATTGGAGAATAGAATAGAATAGAATAGAATTAAAGAATAGAATAGAATAGAATAGAATAGAATAGAATAGAATAGAATAGAATAGAATAGAATAGAATAGAATAGAATAGAATAGAATTACAGAACAGGATAGGATACGGTAGGGTAGGATAGAAATTGGAATATAGAATAGAAATTGGAACATAGAATAGGATAGGATAGATATTGGAGAATAGAATAGAATAGAATTACAGAATAGAATAGAATAGGATAGGATAGAAATTGGAATAAAGTATAGAAATTGGAACATAGAATAGGATAGGATAGATATTGGAGAATAGAATAGAATAGAATAGAATAGAATAGAATAGAATAAGAATTACAGAATAGAATAGAATAGAATAGAATAGAATAGAATAGAATAGAATAGAATAGAATAGAATAGAATAGAATAGAATAGAATGCTAAAACATATGAAGAACGGTTGCAGGAATTGGGTATGTTTAGTCTAAGAAAGAGATGGACCAGGGATGAAATGATAGCAGTCTTCCAGGATTTGAGGGGCTGCCCCAAAGAAGAGGGGGTCAACCTATTCTCCAAAGGACCAAAAGGCAGGACAAGAAGCAACGGATGGAAACTAGTCAAAGAGAGAAGCAACCAAGAACTAAGAAATTTCCTAACAGTCAGAGCAATTAAGGAGTGGAACGGCTTTCCCCCAGAAGTTGTGGGTGCTCCATCACTGGAGATTTTAAAGAAGAGATTCGACAGCCATTGGAATGGTATACAGTTTCCTGCTTGAGCAGGAGGTTGGACTAGAAGATCTCCAGGGTCCCATTCAACTCTGGTATTCTGGATCGAGAGAACAAACTAATCCCAAGCCAAAGGCAACTGTTTAGGACAAAGAGTGACATGTGAATTTGGGCTACAGTCAGCAGCCAACCCATCCGTGTTCATTTGATACCCAAGTCCAGAAGCATTTGAAGGGTGGGTCCAAAACACATCAAGAGAGCGGTCACCACAAGGTGATCAAAGCCCTAGCTCTTTGTATGTGAGTATACCGTCGTTGTTGCAGGAGGCTCCTGCGTATTCTTTGGACAGCAGAGGTGACCAACAAGCAAGCACTGGAGCGCATCACAGCAGACATGTCACTGGAAGGCGAAATCACGAAATTGTGTCTCATTTTGGCCATGTCAAACGGGGAATTTACCCGAGAAAGCAATTATGTTGGGAAGTATTAGCAGTAAAAGGAAACCAGGATGATGAACATGATGGCTGGACACAATCAAAGCTGACACCAGCCAGACATGGAACAACTCAAGGAAGTACCACAAGATTGGAAGAAGTGTATGGTTTATATGTGTCTTAAGATTTTTTTAAAATTTTTTAATTAAGCCTGTATTCAGCTCTGGGAAGGTGGGGGGAGGGTAGGGGAGGGTTGGGAGGGTTTGGGGAAGGGAATTGTTTTGTAAAACTTAAAAATTTTCAATAAATAAATAAAAAAAAAGATTGGAAGGAGTGGAGAGACCAGCTGGCAAATAGAATCACCAAGAGTCAGACACGGCTGAATGGAGAACATCGTCATCAGTCATAGAATAACATAGTTGGAAGGGACTTTGAAAGTAACCTAGTCCAACCCCCTGCCTCAGCCCGACCACCATCTAGGGCAGCGGTAGGCAACCTTGGCTCTTTTATGACTCGTGGACTTCAACTCCCAGAATTCCTGAGCCAGCATAGCTCAGCTTGGAAACCTCTCCCTTTCGCCTCAGCGTGGCTGGCTCAGGAATTCTGGGAGTTGAAGTCCACGAGTCATAAAGTTGCTATAGTTCCCTGCCCTGAGGGATGAGGTTAGGACAGGGATAAGCAACCTTGGCTCTTTTATGACTCGTGGACTTCAACTCCCAGAATTCCTGAGCCAGCATGGGGGGAACTATGGCCCCTTCATGACTCGTGGACTTCAACTCCCAGAATCCCTCAGCCAGCATGGCTCAGCTTGGAAACCTCTCCCTTTCCCCTCAGCATGGCTGGCTCAGGAATTCTGGGAGTTGAAGTCCACGAGCCATAAAAGAGCCAAGGTTGCCTACCCCTGACCTAGGGGCTGATGGTGAGAAACTCTGGACTACCACACTGTGGTCATGCTTGAGCAAGAGACCCTATATCATTACAGACAAAGGGTTGTCCAGTCTCTGACTAAAAACCTCCACCGATGGAGCATCCACAACTTCTGGAGGCAAGTCGTTCCACAGGTTAATCGTTCTCACTGTCAGGAAATTTATCCTTCATTCTACGTTAGTTCTCTGCTCGGTTAGTTTACAATCGTTGCTTCTTGTCTGGCTTTCTAGTGCTTTGGAGAATAGGTTGAGCACCTCTTTCACAGAATAACAGAATTGGAAGGGACCCTGAAGGTCTTCTAGTCCAGCCCCCTGCTCAAGCAGGAGACCCTATACCAGTGGTGGCGAACCTATGGCACGGGTGCCAGAGGCGGCACTCAGAACCCTCTCTGTGGTTATGTGCGTCGTTGCCCCAGTCCTAGACCTTCAGCTGGGTTTTATAAAACCTTTTTGCTTTAGGCCTCTGCCACCATTTGCAAAAAAAAAAAAAAAAAGGTTCAATCAGTCAATTTCAACTTCTCGTCAGGGAAAAAAAAAGATCTCGCAAAGTTGGAATTGATTGATTGAACCTTTTAGTCCCACCCAGTCTGCTGTTACCACCGCAGCCATGCCCACCCAATGGGCCACACCCACCCGGCGATGATGCATAAGTGGGTTTTCGATTGCAGTTTGGGCACTCGGTCTCTAAAAGGTTCGCCATCACTGCCCTATACCGTTTCAGACAAATGGCTGTCCAGTCTCTTCTTAAAAACTTCCAGTGTTGGAGCATTCACCGCTTCTGGAGGCAGGTTGTCCCACTGGTTAATTGTTCCCACTGTCAGGAAATTTCTCCTTAGTTCTAGATTGTTTTTTTCTTTAATGATCTTCCACCCATTATTTCTTGAAAAGTGGTTTTGTGGGGGGGGGGGGAGAAGCAGGCTAAACCAATTAGAATAGAATAGAGCTGGAAGGGACCTTGGAGATCTTCTAGTCCAGCCCCCTGCTCAAGCAGGATAACCTATACCATCTCAGACAGGTGATTGTCCAGTCTCTTCTTGAAAATTTCCAGTACTTAACTTCCATAGAAAAAAGATCCTG